AGCCCGCGGCTGCCCCGGCCCGGTACCCGGCGCTGCTCCCCGCCGCCGCCCGCGCCTCCCCCGCCGCCGCCCTGCACGCGATCTAGGGCCGGCTTCCTCCCGCCACAGAGCAGGACGCGGAGCTCCGGTCCTCAGGGGCTGCTGTTTGAAGCTTCTCCGAATCCGGCGACGCGGGTGTCCTCTCGAGCCCGCGCCAGCCCGCGCGGCAGCGCTCCGGGACTGCGAGGGCTGCAATCCCCTCTCCTGACCCGAGAGGTTCCCTTCCGCGCCCGCCAGGGGCAAGCCCTGAAGAAGAGAGAAGGGCAGAGACTACCTGAGCCCGGAGCCCGACGGAACAAGTCCCCGCGCCGGCGCACGCCAGGCAGCTAAGGTTCGGGGCGCTCGGGCCGCAGGGCGCAGGCGCGGCGAGCGCAGATTCGGCCCCGCCCACAGCTACGCGCAGAGCACGCTGGGAACGCCCCGTCACCCCGGCAACCGGTCCCACGCCGTCGCCATAGAGACCCGCAGGCGCCTCCGCCGGCGTCCGCGCAGGATGCCCCGCCGAGGCTGCGAGGCGGCGAGCAGGCGGAGACACCCGAGCGACAGCCTCAGCTGGCGGCAGGACCAGGCTCTGGGCAGCAGCGTCTACCTCCTGCGGGAGATCGGCCCCACCGGCTTCCTGCTGAGGGAGGAAGAGCCGGAGATCGGGGATTTCCGCGTAACTATGGCGTCGCCCCGGGACTTCATCCCCCGGGGTCCCCGCACCCCGCCGCGTCCACACCCCACGCGCTGCGCAGGGCCAGCGGAACGGCGATTGCTGCGAGGGGCTCTTTGTTGGCGGTCAGCACGCAAATCAAGTCGTGTCCGGAGTCCGCTACACTGATGGCCCCTTAATTTCAAGGGCTGTAAATGTCAGAGGTTTTAATGAGCACTTTGTGCGAAATGGATCCATTTCCAGTAGTCACTAACCCCTAAATCAATCAGAATGGAAATTCTGCGTATGCACAGGCCGTACAGATTTGCTCAATGTTTGCTATTATTTTGCTCAATAAACAAAATCAGTTTCAGGTTATTCACTTTATAGCATAAGGAGGCCCCATTAAGGTGTAGTTTAAAAGGTGATGCCTTGTAAAGCTCTTAATAAAAATTCTTGTATTTTGCTGAGAAAGTAGGGATAGTTGATATTTATACATTTCATTCTCAGCAAAAATTGGTCACTGCACACACACACACACACACACACACACCCATTAGTTGACTTGGAAAATTGTAACTTACTGCCATGTAGTTCAGAGTACTGAACACAAGTTACCTGTTGGTGCTTTTTTTTTTTTTTAAGAGAATACAAATTAGAATTTAAAAATTACGAGTGATACAGCATTTCACTTAACAAAGTAATGTGCATTTCACAGCTGTCTGTACTTTTTAAAAACATTTTTCCCTTGTTGCTTACAAAACTTACTGGTTTTAATAAAACTGTGTCAGTCAATAGCGTTGGTGAATAAAATTATGCCTCTTGAATAAGATTAAATTTTAACTCCAAAACACACAATCAAAGCTCCAAAGTGAGCTACTACAGAAGTGTACTCTAAGGTTCCCCATAGTAAGAAACATCATTTTGAGAGGGTTTTTGGTTGTTTTGTTTTTTGTTTTTTGTTTTTTTAAGCTGGTTTTTGGTTTTTTCAGCTTTTAAACTTAGATACATTTTCATCTGTGTAAAGATCCCTTAATGCGTAATGCTTCTTGTTAATCAAGGAAAGCAGAAGGGAGTGAAACGTCAGCCTAAGGTGCGTGCAGGGAGCTGCGCCTTTCCAATACGCTGGCTGCTAAGAGGCCCCCTTGGGCTCCCTAGACCCAGTTATCTCTGTAAGTCTCTATTACTCGAATTACAGAACAGTTCAGTTTTGCTCTACCATTCACTTTCTGTCGAAGGTCTTCCTAGGAAACCCGCATGTTTGCAACTGCTCCACATTTCTGAAAGGAGGGGAACTCTGCAAGCACATATGCTGGTAGGTGATTTTTTTAATTTTTATTTTTAGTAGTTCTTGTTTGCAGTGTGTAATGTTTGCAGCCCTCCTGGAGCACTGGCACACAAACATAACAGCCTAATCCTTCTGCCATCCCTTTCCCTTCCTCTCTGGATCCCCTCCCTACTTCCTATCACCTTTTATTTTGTTCTATTTATATTTTGAGTTTCTCACATAAGAAAAACTACGCAATATTTAAGCTTATATGGCTGATTTATTTTCCTTAATGTTATGGTCTCAAGCTGAACCCCCCCCCCTTTTTTTAGACAGGGTCTCACTGTGCAGTTCAGGCTGGCCATGTGCTCACTTTTGTAGCCCCCAGGCTGGTCTCGAACTCTCAGAGATCCTCCTGGCTCAATCTCCTGAGTGCTGGGATTGCAGGCACGTGCCACCACGCCCAGTTCTGGGGTGCACGGTTGGCGTCTGCATCTACTGAGAGGGCGTGCCCAGGCATCCGGGGCAGAGACGGCCTGGGGTATGTTGCTGGGTCCTTGTGCCTCTGAGCTATCGTGTATATATATATATATATATTTGAGAGAGATATATACTTGATATATATATATATATATATACTTCAAATATATGTATATACTTGAGATATATATACTTGAGTTATATATATATACATATATATATATGTATATATATATATCTCAAGTTTGTGGTAAAGATCTTCCATCAAAGAGTGTCTTGCTGGGTTATATATTTTAACTTCCTCTTGATTTACATGCAGCAAGTTAAAGAAATTTAATGTTGGTGGAATGTAAAATTTAAAATGGCCATAACTTACCAACGTATTTTTTATTATTTCTTTTCATTCTGGAAATAATAAAGTTTAAATTGAGGAAAATTTTATAATGTTAATGTTTTTAGTAAAAACATCAATTTTTAGGGGCTGGAGACATAGCTCAATGGCAGCGCCTGCCTGGCATGCACAAGGTCCTGAGTTCAATCCCCAGTACCACAAAAAAATAAAAAAATAAACTTTGAGATTCATTCTCATGCTACCTACACATCAAAATCTGTAAAGTGAAAAATTCACATCATTGATATTTGTGGATTTTGCAACATTACTGGGCTTCAGCAACTTTCTGTCTCTAAAAATTGCATTTTCTTGAAATCAAGTGTTCTGTTTCCCGCATGAACACTATGAAACTGAACATATTCACCCTTTTCTTCTGGCTTCTGTTGCTCATTTCACAATGTGTTTCTCTTTTTCAGTGAACACTTTGTTATGAAATTTTCAAGATAGAAATAGGGCTCTATTTAAGATTACTCTTCTGAAATTTGAAATTATTCTTTCAGTGGCAGGATCTTTTTAAAGGGTTAGGAATCCCCATAAATAGAAGGAAAAAAAAAGGTCCATTTAGCTTACAACCTCCACTCAATTCATTTTATTTTGCCCACTTATCTATACTCCTAACAACAAATTCTTCATTATATTATTATTAATGTATAATTTATATTTGAAGAGAAATTACAAAAATTTAGGAAAGATGGTCATTTCTAATGGTTTATTTATAAGCAAAGAAAATAAAAGCAGTAAATTATGGCTGTTAACTTCTAATACCTTACCAAGTTTTTTTTATTGCATTTTGGTTGATTTTTATTACGCATTCATGAACATGGGTAATTTATAAAGATAAAAATATGCTTGTTTCAAATGGTGCTACTTGATACAATTATACTAACAGTAGGCTTTTCCATTTTTATTGAATTATCAAAGCAAGAGCACTCCATTCTGATTTTAATGTGATGTAGCTAATTTTATTTCAAACCAATTAAATGGAAATGTAGTCCAAGCATTTAATATACTAAAGTACATTTGATAGATTTAAATAGTAACTAAGTATGTATTTGCCATGTTTAAAATCACGTTTCATTTTATTTGGTGAGATTTGAAAATAGTTTTCTATCACACATTGAAGTGGTATATCCCTTGGCACTATATCCAGACACTTTTTGTCCAGGAAGATGGAAAAAAGTACTATGAGTACCTAAAACCCTCACTAGCCTCTCTCTCTCTGAAAGCTATATGGGTAAGGAATACACAGACTCTCCAATAAATTTCTGTCCTACAAATGTATTTTGTTTCCATTAATCCTATTTTTTCACATTTATTTGAAAGCGTAAGTTTAACTATCATTATTATTGAAAGTTGGTGCTCTAGTTTTCTTTGTAACATTTAATACTGCAAATTATATGATGCTATTTCTGGTCTAAATTTTTTTAGAGATATGTTTTGAGTTATGGCAAATATAAATGTTTTCATTTTTTTCTACTTGTGAATATTAGGATCTTGTTGAAAAAATTCAGGCTTCCAAGGAATCATGAATGTAAGTTTTACAGTTTTTGTTTATTTTGCCTAATTTGATATTAATAGTTTACAAGTTGAAATTTTTTAATTTAATTATATTCTAAACTTAGATGTTTATTTTTCAAAAGAACACAATAGCCATCTATAGCTTAACTTCTTAAGGTTGGAGTATTTTTCTTCTTAAAAAAAAAAATACTTTGTTGTACCATTTTCAAGTCAAAGACAAGATGAAGCAAGAGCCAGTTATTTGGCAGAAAATAATATCTCATATCCGGAGCGAAACTTTAGTGTTTTCTGTATCTAAAGTTGTTCTAATAGTACGAAAAACCTTAATTTTTAAATTTTAAAAAATTTAAATTTTATATCTGAGAAACAGGATGGTGCATAATTTCATCCAAAAATGTTTACTGGCTGAATTTTTCTTTAAAAGTTCATAATGTAAAATGTTGTAGTTTTATGTGAGTACTTAAACTGAGCTTAAAGTCAGGCATCATAGTTGTAAAACTTTAAACTCCAGAGTACTCAAAAATAAAGGGAAGAAACAGACAGTTCTATTGTAGGTCATTAAATGTGGACATTTTATAATAAAGATCCAACCATTATCAGCAGTGCCTGACCCCACGGAGTTGTTGGACCTATACAGGACCCATCAATGGCTGCATTTTAAAATTTTTATAAACGTGCATGATATTCATAAAAATTATAGTGATAATCTGTCTTCAGTTCAGAGATTCTCTTTAGGCAAGTCCATCCTCCAGCTGCTATGTAAACAGATTGCAAAGTTAGACTGAAGGATAGGCGAAGAGTGGCATTTCTTGGGCATTTCCCTGTCGTTCTCTTCTCTCTCTGCACCGTGGGCAAGCAGCTCGCCTCCTGCTGTCTGTGTCTCCTGAAGTGAAATCTGCAGAGCTGTCTTTGGACAGCTCTACTTCGAGGTCCCAGGCACACATTAAATGCCAAATTAACCTCTGTTTTTGTTTCTGCTTTTATTGTAGTTTGTTGTTGTTGTTGTTGTTGTTGTTGTTTTGGGCTTTTTGTTGGAATGGTCAGTTTGCAGTACTGAGGCTTAAACCCAGGACCTTCGCCCTGCCTTACATCCCAGCTTCTCCCTCTCTCCCTCTCTCCCTCTCTCCCTCTCTCCCTCTTTCCTTCTCTCCCTCTCTCCCTCTCTCCCTCTCTCCATCTCTCCCTCTTTCCTTCTCTCCCTCTCTCCCTCTCTCCCTCTCTCCCTCTCCCCCCTCCCCCTCTCCTCCTTTCCCCCTCTCCCTCTTCCTCTCCCTCTCTGTCATTCTTTTCCTTTCTTTCCTTCTTTCTTTTCTCCCTGTCCCTCTGTCTTTCAACAGAGGTCTCACTAAATTACTCAGGCTGTCCTTGAACCCCCTGCCTCAGCCTCCCAGAGTGCTGGGATCACATGCATGAACTACCACTCACACCTTAAAATCTCCATGCCGCATCTTGGCCTTCCTTTTTACCTCTGCTGCGAAGTTTGGAATTCTCTGCCCACATCCTCCTCCTCTCCCACTCGTGTGTTATCCTGCACGTCCCACGTGTCCTGCGCCCCGCCTGTCTGCCAGAGCCTGTGCCCCCGTGTCCTTGCCCTGTGCTGCCTTCAGCCTCAGCACTGTGGCCTGCAGCTTCACTGTCCCCAGAGCTGCGCCGGCTCCATCTTCCGCGCCCTCGCAGGGCACACCGCTTCTTCCTACCTGTTCCTTTCTCTCTGTCCTTGTGCTGGCCCTGCCTGGGTTGCACGATGCCCTCCCCCTTTCGTCTCCATGTCTCCTGCAGGGAGGAGGACGCTGGCTTCCCCTGCAGTCTCAGTGCTCTTAGCATTGTGGTTCTGTCCAGCGTCCATACCAAGACTACCGCGTGGAACCACACGGAGAGCCACACATGGCATTTCTAGTAGCCATTTCGTCAGAATTAAGAAACAGGGACATAATTTCAATTATGTATTTTAAACTAAAACACCACAAGTTATGCCAACATAGAACTAGTATAAGAATTTTAAGACATTTTGCTTTTCTTTCCTTCTGTCTTCCAAGCGCCCTTGTGTGTGTGACATTGACCTTGGCGCTCTCCTCACGTTATTTTCTGTGCTTCATAAAATTTTTGGTTGAAAAGTGCATCCACATATACCCAGACTGTTGCCAGCGTACTTACTATTTTCAGTAAGTTTATATTGTCGAATATAAATTCAAATTAAGCAAAATTAAAACTAGAGCTAAGTCTGCCCAAGCTAACTGCGCAGGCACAGTTGCTCTGTGTGGCTAATGCCTTTAGTATTGGAAAATGCAGGTCCATGCAGTTAAATTCAACAAATACTTATTGTACTGTACATTAGCCAGGGACTGCTTTAGGTGCTTTTCATAAATTGAATCATGTGAGATGCTAGTATTGGGATATTTTCATGGATAAATACAGCATTTTTGTAAATCAGTCCAATATTTTATGTTGCATTTCCTTTTGCACTTAAAAAAAAAAAAAAGCAGAGTCTTACTATACAGTTGAGGCTGGCTTTGAACTTGCATGTAGCCCAGGCTGGCCTCAAAATCATAACAATCCCCCAGCCTTCGCAGACTCCCAATTGCTGGGGTTACAGGCTCTGCCTGGCTTGTTTCCACCTCTCAAAGATGGAAGGGATTCTTCTTACAAATATCAATAGAGAATGTTTAAAGTTAATCCTATAACTTTTGAAGTTATACTTCTTACTGAAATTTTTTTCACATCATTTATATTTAAAAGACATTTTCGAGCCAGCGAGATAACTCAGAGGACTAAAGCACCTACTTAGGCAAGCTTAGGCAAGTGCAGGGAGCAGGGGTCCAGTCCTTGGCACCATATGCCGCGCCAGCCCCACTGCCAGGGCGGGCTGAGGCCACAGGGGCGATAAAGAACTTTGCATCAACATTGAAAATACCATGTGCACAATGTAATTATAGACAGAGTAGGAATATTCAAAGAAAAGATCCTAATGACCTTAAACTTTTTGTCACTTGAATGAAAGCTTGAGCAAACACACATGAAAATTAAAATAATTCCAAGAAAGCCATGCACAGAGTTATGCAGTAGGGTTATATAAATAAAGTAGGTAAATAAGCGTAGAGGAAATGCTTACTGTTAATAAAGGAGGAATGTTTTGAATATCATGCATGCATTCTTTTCTAAAAGGAATCTAGGAACAGTGATTTGCACCCCCATGTTGCATGTAAGAAATGTAAGCTTCTCTTTTCTTTATGAAGACCTGCAAGCATGATTATAAGAATATCAATTTTTATTATAAAAATTTTATTATAAGAATGTCAGTTCACCAAAGGACAGACCATTTATAAAGGATGGGCATGGATGAAAGGACGCTTTGGTCAGTGTTAGCAACACAGAAAAAGCATCTATATGCCAAAATGTAGTAAAGCCACAGAGAAGGTGGTTATCTCAGACGAGGAAGCGTTTGCAGTGGGGGAAATCTCCTCAACACTTCAGAAGAGTGCAACTTTACCCCAATCTATAGCTGAAACATAATTCACACCTGGAGGACGAACAGCCAACACGCTTGCTGGGAGCAGCTTAGAGTTCATCAGTGTCAGTGAAGAGTGAGTTCAAGCGCAAAGGAAGCCCCAACGCAGAAAGCACCCACCCAGAGGCTCTGGGCCCTGCGTTCTGGATGGTGCTGCAGCTGGGGTCCACACAGCCCCTTCCCGGTGCCCGACAAGCTCTGCTGCTTTGCTCGCTCGCCCCTTCCAGAATACCCTTGTTCAGTTCTACGCGTTTGATTTTTCCACACGATTATCAGAAGAGTTTCTTTTCCCTCCCCCCCCCCCATTCCTCTTCTCCACCACATACAGCGGTGTCTGCGCAGCTCCTTCGGCGGAATTACATTATTCGGGAGTGCTTTGCCCGGAAGCATCTTCACTCCCCACAGCAGGCTTTCTCTCCTCATCATTCTCATTTTTCTGCAGGGCAGATGCTACTGCGTCTCTGTGACACACGGCCCTCCTGCCCCAAAGTGATGGTAATTCAAGGACACCCGCAGTCTGCCTGCTTCGCCACCAGCCCAGGAGCAGTGACTCGTGTTTTCTGTGTTCTGAGCCGTTGGCTGGGCCCTTCCAGGGAAACACAGTGTTTCACTGTCTCTCTTGCAAATGATCTTCACTCTATATATTTTATCTTCTTTTTTAATTTTATTTTTTAAGGCGTGTACAAATTATAATTAGAACAAAAAATTACAAGTGATAAAGAACTTCTCTTAACAGAGTAATGGGAATTTCACAGTATTTGTAGTAACGCATAGTATTGTCTTCAAACCAGTTAGTTAATGTTTAATTTGTTTTGTCTTTTTTTAATTGTTTGTCCTTTTTCTCTTCTTAATTTCTTATACATTTCTTCTTTCTTCCAATTTTGCATGCATATATCTGGCAATATTAATAACTGATTAGAAGACCACACTATGTCTTACAACAAATACTGTGAAGTTCATATTACTCTGTTATGTGAAATTCCCCACATATTTTAAAGGCTGTGTGAGAGGACTAGAACCCCAGCGAAGGATAGCAGATAGACGAAGTTATCTTAAGGAAGCAAGGGACAAAGGGAAAGAGCCCAGGGATGATGGGTCAGGGAGTAAAAAATGTCCTCATTTTTCTGCTGGTCGAAAGCACCAGCCCTTAGGGTGCAGTTCCTTGTAAGGACGGCAGGATGGAGAAAACTCAGAAGTGGAGGAGTGCGCCTCCTCCGGTGCAGGCTGCAGTGTGCGGAGGAATGCGGGCAGAACTGGGGATGGGGAAGCTCCAGGCTCCTGAGGCACCACAGGGGCCCAAATGGAAACAAGAAAATAGACACGGTGAATTACCTCCGGGCCACCCGCTGTACATTTTTTCACTTATTCATGTAACAAACATAAATTATACAGCTCAGGTATTCTTGTTTTCCTTTTATGAATTTGTGCCCCTGTTGTTTTGGTTTTTTGTTTTGTTTTGGTTTTGGTTTTCAGTACCAGGGATTGAACTGAGGACCTTGCACTTGCCAGGCAGGCGCTTATGCCACTGAGCTTTATCCCTGGTGCCCCTGTTTTTTAATACTCTTGCATGCTGACAAAACGTTTTCTTATAGACAAATTGAATGTGGAGCATGATTATAACGCCAGTTCAAAAATGAACATCATCCTACCCACAACCCTTTTTTCTTTTTTAATTTAGGACAGGGTGTATAGGGTGTACAGGGTCTCACTGCATAGATCAGACTGGAAGTAATCCTCCTATGTACAACCTCCCACAAGCTGGGATTACAGGCATGCCACCACGCTTAGTCTCAATCACTGTCTCAGTGTGCCCTGGGGCTGGGACCGGGGCCAGGGCCAGCATGGCAGGCCAGCGGATCGAACTCTTGGCTCCTGCATCTTTAAGTAGGCACTTTAAACCACTGGGCTATTTGGCCGGCCCCTACAGCCCTTACAGTGCACCATTTGCTCTGTTTTCCAGTAACAAGTAAAAAAGATAATTTCTATCCTTGTCATAAATGACTCCTGCCTGACATTTTGGCTCCGAAAAGAATGCAAAAAAGTGGTCACTGTCAGTGTGGGAAGCAACTAAACACTGTCCTCCTGCACCTTAAAAAGAAGCTCTAACTTGCGGCATGCGTGACTACATCTCTGTATTTCTAGTGTTGCTGCCGCATTTTAATACTTTGGGGTTTCTCGCTAGCGGCTTTCCAGCTAGGTCTTACAGAAGGAGCCATCAACGACTTGCTGCGGGGGATTCATAGAGTGCAGACGCCACAGCCAGGAAGGCAGGATGACAGCGCGTGCGGCGAAGGAGAGGGCTGCGTGCCGCAGAAGGAGGTGGGTCCCGAGGACATCTGCTCCATCTGCCAAGAGGAGCTTCTGGAGAAGAGGCTGCCCGTGACCTTCTGCAGGTGAACACCGTGAGTGCTGTGGGTGATGAGCGCTGGGCAAAGCGCCTAACTTGACGTGTTTACAGCCGATGAGAGTAGGAGGATTAGAGCAGGAGAGGTGTGGGTAGAGACAAACAGCACCTTTACAAATGGGCAATGTCTATTTTCGCAGTGTTCTTTTGTTTCCCAACATGCATATTGCTACTTTTTGCACTGGTATTTTTCCTCCTGATTATTTGCCAAAATTTCATGCACATTGCAGCTTTTAATACAGCTGTTTCTGTTGCACATTGTAAGATTATGAGCAGCTGCCCCCAAATATTATTTCTACAGCATATTTCTCAGGTAGAGTGTTTTGGGGTTTTTTTGTTGTTGTTTTTGTTTTGTTTTTGTTTTTGTTTTTGTTTTTTTGTACAAAGGATTGACCTCAGGACCTTGCGCTTGCCAGGCAAGCACTTATTGTACTGAGCTATCTCTCCAGCCTTAGAGTGTGAGTTCTGAGAAAATCAGATGGGCATCATTATAATGTTCCTCTGTATTACGACTGTTTTCACTACTATCATTTTACAAATAAAATGATTTTACAAATTACAAATAATGATATTGATCACATACATGGTCCAAAAATCTTTCATCTTTTCATTGGAATAAAAATTATGTGTGGATTCTTGGGGACTAAATTAAATATAGCAAATTCCATTTGTATGTACATAGATGTGTGTAATCAAACTATATCCAGAAAATCGGTCGAGTCTTTTTACGTGAATAATGGTATTAGAACTGAAATTTTTATTTGTACAAGTGATTATGATATATAAATAGATAAAATGTGTGTATTATAAAATACACACATCCCTGCTTCTGCGCAGGGATGGTAACCTTGAATTTTATTTCTGATAGATTTGGCTGTGGCAATAATGTTCATATAAAATGCATGAAGATCTTGGCTAACTACCAGAATATGACCTCAAGCTCTTCCATGGTGAAATGTCCTCTGTGCAGGAAAGAGTTTGCACCATTAAAAGTTATCTTGGAAGAATTCAAAAATTCTAGCAAACTTATGGCCACCACTGAGAAAGAGCGGCTGGACAAACACCTTGGAATTCACTGTAATCACTGTCAGCAGTTTCCGATAAAGGGCAAGTGTTATAAGTAAGTGTCACCAGTAAAATTATAAGATTTGTGTTAACTTTTCAAAACATTGGCCATCGGTGTACCTGCCCATCATTCAGCCTTCTTCCAACCATGAATTGTTATTGATTTACTTGATGGCAGCTTATATGGGATTTCTAGACATGTGATCTGATTTTTTAAGAGAATAGAAAAATAACAGATAAGACATTAGAAATGATACAGAAATTTTAGAAATAAGAAAAGGTATTCAACAGTGGTTGTTATAGTGCACATTTCTGTCTTCAATGTAGTTTCTCAGATTACACATATAAACATATAAAACTGGTCAAAGTAAAATTTTTAAACATTAATTGCTACCTTCAAAAAACTGATAGAAATTAGTACAATCATCTTAGCCAATGTGTGTATATACGTACATGATTTTGCCCCTTTCTTTTTTTCCTATTTTTCTTCTTTCTCTCACCCCAGCTGTCTGTTCCTTATGTTCAGTTTCTTTCCCTTTCACTATATCTGTTGTACCTCTCAGATTTTATTTACTCTTTTAGGTTCTTACCCTAAGGAGACAATACAATGTTTACACATGTGGGTCTGATTTATTTTACTTATAAGTAGAGCATCTAGTTGCATCCATTTGCCTATAAAATCCTCAAGTTTATCTTTCTTGATATCTGAGTAATACTTCATTGCATAAAAATACCACATCTTTTTTATCTTTTCCTCAGTTGATGGGCATTTGAGTTGTTTCCAAGATTCAGTTATGATAAATTGTGCTGTTATAAACATGAGTGCATATGTATCATTGTGGTATGATGTTTTCAGCTCTTCTGGAAAAATATTCAGACACTCAGTCACCTTATCTTTGACAAAGGGGCCAAACATGTTCACTGGAAGAAAGCCTGTTTAACAAATGGTGCTGGAAACATTGGCTCTCCACATGCCAAAAACTAAAACTATATCCAGGTATATCACCATACACTAAACTAAAGTCAAAATGAATGAATGATCTAAATATGAAAACAGAAACACTAAATCTACTGAAAGAGAAAACACATAGAAATCTTAAAGACATAAGCATAGTTGGTGAACAAAACTCAAACTTCACAGAAATACTTCAAAGAATCAACAACTGGGATTTCATCTTACTGAAAAGTTTCTGCACATCAAAAGAAATTATCAATCAAGTGAAAAGAAAACCCACAAATTGAGAAAATATCTTAACCAACATTCACTCAAAGGACTTCTACCTAGAATATATACAGAACTAATAAAAATCAGGCCGCCAAAATGCAAAGACCCAACCCAAATACAAACATTTAAGATGAATACACACTTCTCAGAGGAAGAAATAGAAATGGTAAATAAATACATGAAAAAAATGGTCCACAGCACTGGTCATTCAAGCAATGCAAATTAAAACAATGCCAAGGTTCCATCTCACCCAAGAAAGAATGGATATCATCAAGAAGTCAACCAGCATACAAAGCTGGAGGGACTTGCAGGAAAACGGAACTCTTCTCCACTCTTGGTGGGACTGTGAGTTGGTGCAACCATTTGGAAATCAGTGTGGAAACTCCTCAAAAAGCTAGAATTAGTGACCTGATTTTACTTGCTTTGCTTTTGTAAGTGCATGACCCTTTCCCTGGAGATCATGAGTCCAGTAGCAGCCAGGCAAGGAGTGCTGGACGCAGGCTGTGGCACAGTCCCACATAAGAACCAAGCTCAGAGTCACTCTAGATCTCTCACTTTCTTTGAAAAGCCAATGAGGTTATTCAAATCTCCTAGGATTAAACCAGAGGGAGACTGCCTGAATCTTTCATCAGATTCTAAAAAGTCCTAATTAAAGAAAACTCAAGTTTTGTTTTCTTTCATATTATATACCTCAGCAATAACAACAAAAGTGAGATAATAGCAGTTTGCCCATCTTCACAGTTGTCACAAACATCAATCAATTGCCTGCAAAATTTTGTTCTGTTAATTAAACTTTAAGGGAATATTTTGTTTCAATTTTTAAAAATTCTTGTAAAATACACCAGTTTTTATCTTTCAGCTTTTTCTAGCATTACATTATGATGAGGAATATTTAAATTATGTACATTAAACTTTCTCAGACAGCCATAAAACTTTTTCATAGCCCTGAACAGCAAATTACCCCTTTTCTCCTTTGAATTTAGCCCTCTGTTTTCTGAATGTGTCCCACAACAAAACTCAGTCATCAACAAGAGTCTTAGCCTTAGCAATGGCTGGCCTGAGGAGGCTGCAAAGAAGGGAAGCTGGAGGAGGAAGAGTTTGTAGAGATAGTTCTTCGGGGATGTTCAGCTTGCCTGGAGAAGGTGGGTGACAGAAAGTTCTGGGACAAGGAAGGCCCCAGCCTTCGGTGGTAGTAGCCATTGTTTGGGTAAGCAGCTCTGGGGTACAAAGTCATCTGAGGGCCACAGTACAGCATTCTTAGCCCCCATGGGCTTGTACTCCTCTGCTGGCTAACTGTGAGTGCGGAAGGTTGTATCAGATCGTCTCACTTTAGAAATTCTGTGGGAAGAACACGCTTTTCTGCTCCAGGTGTGGGCTGTTCCTTCTGTCCTGCTGGGGTTTCCTTGCATCGCCTCAGTGAAACACCCTCCAGGGTGCTGCTGCTGCCACTCCCAGAGGCCTCCTTTGGCACCTTGCTGTCACTCCTCGTTTAGGAACCTGGCTGGTGTCACCTTCCTGTTTTACAATTTTTTTTATTAATTTTATTGAGAAATAAATTGCACTGAGACAGTTTTAAAAGTGATTAATAGGACAGTTCCAATTAAGACATTGCATATTGTTGTCTTCGTAGTAGTTATTCATAGTACAAGTATCATGCAGACATGATATCCTGTCCAAACACTATTTAGTACAAATCTTTCTTCTCATTGAATTAAGAGAAAGTAGCTGTATATCTATCCTATTTTGTATGTACAGATACACAATGGTCCTTCATTTGTATCCCTTTTTTTTTGCTTAGTTTTGTCAGAGATGGGTATTCCATTGCCATTTAAATATTGTAGGTATGTGAATTCAGCAAAATAATCCAATATAGTGCAGTAGTCCAAAGCTGCTTCTGGAGAGTTAACAACTTAAGTTTGCAGACCAAAAATTAGAGAAAAAGAAGGGCTGCAAGGACAGCCAACATTTTGGCCCTGGCCTTGCAAGGTCAGTGAGGACTCAGGACATAGGAGAACCTGTATTGTAATATCCAGTAGCCCAGTTGTGTCCCAAATTTACTGACCAAGCATTGGTGGTATAGTGGTGAGCATAGCTACCTTCCAAATTTTCAGATCAAGGAGAATATGGGGCCACAGAGGAATGTGATTGATGATGTACAGTGTGCCTAAGGAGAGTCACAAGGAGAGAAAATATTCTCAGGCTTTCACAAAGAGCAAACTGGTCAAGGAATGGCCGTGACTCATCCACATGGCTGACACTGACAAAAGATCTATACAAACGGCGGTACAGGACTACAGCATAAATCCTGAGGGCACTTGACTGACCTTGTCAGATACAAAAGCTACATTTCTTGTTATATAAGTCTTGCTTTATCTTGGTCTTAACCATCCAGCAGAAAAGTATAAAAGTGAGATATAAAAAGTAAAGCCATATTAATATGCTGAGCTGTAAAAAGGCTCAAGTCAACAACTGACATTGCCAGTCCTGCGGATAACCCACTACTGTGATGGCCTACTGGATTATATTGGATTATTTTCCTGTTTTTCAAATTGAAGAGCAAGTGCAATGCTGTCTTCCTCCTCTAGTGCAGCGCTGACATGCAGGCCTCAGCCTGAAGAATGATTTCCAGTACTTTGAGAAACAGATTGAGTGGGAGCAAAGACACACGAGGCAGTCTTCTCTGCCCCTTCATCAGGGCCTAATGACCCAGCTGTTTGCATTTTTTAGAGTATCAATTCAAAAACTCTCAGCTTTATTGGAAAGCATGGCAGTGTTCATGTTTGCCTCCCCAGCACACTTTGATATATCAAGTAAATCACAGCATTGTGCTGAATGTTAATTATTAAGAATCTTCTCTGTGTGTATAAATAGTAATAATAAATAAATTAGCACTTAATTCTACACTGTCTGAAGGAAATATTATTCTTAATTTCTCATGGAAATAGCCTTATACATCTTGGATAACGTAAGCTAAAAAGAAGTTATTTGACTACTATTGAGGTTATTGTTCTGTAAACTTACAACGAGGTAAAATCTGTGCTTGTGGCAAATTTTTGTAAGTGATATATACTTGCCATTGGGATTGTAAGGAAAATTCAATTTTAAAAATTGCATCAATTGGTTTTTTATTGAAGCTCTTTATGTGTTTACTTTTTTCATTCTGAAAAGAAAAAAAAAGGAGTATAATTCTGCTTTTAGGTCATAATCTGCTAGGTATAATTGTAGCGTGCACGAAACAACTAGAAAACAACACTGGAAAATCAAATGATAGAATATTTAATGGACTATTGACCCTACAGGAATTTCAAGGAGATTGTGGAATGCTAATTTGACTTAAGAGGGCATCTGGGAAGGTGAGGGTGGGCACAGAAGGGGTCTCCCAAGTGCTGTATGTTTACACTCTCATGTGCATACCTGGATGTTAGGTCACTTGTCACAGGAAAATGAGGTTGCCATGGAATTAAGACTTCCGATCAGATGACATTGAAATAAGGTTGTCCTGACTTCGATAGACCAGGAAAACTGTTTGTAAAAGCAGAGGCAAGGGGGCCTGGGAGATGGCTCAGCAGAATAAGTGCTTGCCTGGCAAGCATAAGGAACTGAGTTCAATCCCTGGTTCCACAAAAAAAAAGTGGAGGCAAGAAATCAGAGAAAATTCCAGCAAGAGAAGGGCAGGGGGCTGCTCCATAGCTCACTTTGCAGGTGCTGTAGGAGGCCACATACCGAGAAATGTGCCTCATCTCCAGAAGATAAGCACAGAAACGGGTCTGTCCTGGAGCCCCAAAACTTGACTCTGCCTTGCCAGCCTCATGTTTGTAGCCATTTAGATGAATTCCAGACTTTTCTTTGCAGAACTCTTGGATAATAAATTTGCGTGGTTTAAGCAGATATATTTGTCAATTTTTTACAGCAGCAATAAGAAACCAGTACCCAAATGGGAGCAGAAATGGGCTTTGTCATGTTTGTTTCATTCTTAGAAAGTTTGGCTCAGAAGTGTTCATCTAAAAGCATGACAGTAACTGGAGGCTCTCTTGCCTGTTTCGGTCTTCTGCGTGTTTAGGTGCACAGAATGCACAGAATTCCACCTGTGCCAGCAGTGCTTCGAGAGCGCGTGCCACGCTCCGCATACGTTTGCCTTTCGCGAGGTATGGTATCGTCCGCACTCTAATGGAGGGGCGGGGCTTGTCTTATTAAACAAACTAAATAAACCTAAGAATATAAAGAGTAAGGGAGGCTTTGGAACAAAGCAGTTGATTTTTAATGAGAATCTACAAGGATATCTTTAGCAGAATGCTTTTTTGCGTAGGTACACAAGGCAAGGTCTTACACTGGTGATTTGCAAACTCTAACACAGTAGCAAGCACCCAATGGCATTATAAATAAATCTTGTGAACAGGAATTACTATAGGAGAACTTGTGAATTAGTTATAAAGGATTTCAACCTTATAATTTGCCATATGAGAACTGACAATCAAGTATGATTTTTCTCTTAAAATTCCTTACACCAAGGGCTGGCCAGGTAGCATAATTAAACATACAATTTTGTTGATAGCATTTGAACTGGACACTTTAAAAGCATCTTGTATTGCTTATAATAATGCTGTTTTGCTAATTATACACTATTAAAAATCTGCAATTATCATTCATAATTTTACTGTAAAAAGTAATGCATTATGGTAGTTATGCAGTAGCACATGAGACCTGATAACTATGTGATAATTTAATGTGATTAGAAAAGAATAGCTATGTTTAAAATTATATCAGGGGGGGCTGGAGAGATGGCTCAGTGGTCTGAAGCACCTACTTAGAACAAGCTTGGCAAAGCATCAGGGACCGCGGTTCAATCCCCCAGCACCACATGCCAGCCAGCCCCGCCCCCTGGTGGGCTGAGCTGGCCACACACACACACACACACACCTCTCTCTCTCTCTCTCTCTCTCTCTCTCTCAAATAAATAAAAAAAAATTTAAAAAAAATAAATAAAATAAAATTATATCAGGGGCCGGGGAGATGGCTTAGTGGAATAAGCGCTTCTCTGGCAAGTGCAAGGGACTGAGTTCAATCCCCGATTCCACCAAAAAAAAAAAAAAAAGCATCTTTCACATTATTATATAATTGATAAGTAGACTATTTTTTAATTCACAAAATAAAAATGTTCATGGCTTGCACAGTAATATCTACCTTCTACCTGTTGCAGAAAAGAAATCAAAGATGGACATCACTAGAAACGGAATCCCATGAAGATATAAAATATTTAGATATTAAAAGTAAGATAGAAGAAAAGCTGCCATATTATCAAGAAAAGCAAGGGTGAGGCTCTAAGTAAAATTTGCATTCCTAGTATAACTTGTGATCTTCAAGCAATTTTTCAGTTTGCATATATCATCTTATTCTTTGATACAATATTTCTGTTTGATTTAATTTATTCACCACTTCCAATACTTGGTGGAGTTAGGAAGTGAAGCAGACTGTTTAGATCCGATCCTACGTCAGCACGTGTTGTCTGTGCGTGACTTGCCTCCTCACGTCACTCCTCTCTGCCACACTTGTCCATCTTAAACAGCAGGATAATTGTAAAACAAACTTCATATGAAATGAGTTACTACTCACAAGAAATATTCAGATAATCCCTATTCTAATTAATTCCATTGGAGGTAGTAGTGGGTATTAGGTATAGATAGTTTCTTCAGAAATCAAATAATTATCTAAATAAATATCAAGTTGAAGCTGACATAAAGAAGATAAGCAAAGGGTGCAGAGGGTTTTGGCATTTGCCTTTGTAATAATTGGCCTCTGACAGAAGGAAGTATTCACCAGTTTATTTTTCCTCTTTCCCCACTCCCCACTTCACGCCCAGGGAACAAGAATGCTGAGCAGCTGATGAGATAGTTCGGCACTAAGTGCCTGCTTTGGCAAGCACAGGGACCACAGTTCAATCCCCAGCCCCACATGCTACGCCGGCCCCACTCATGGGGTGTGCTGAGCCAGCGACCAAATCCGGGCATGGTGGCACATGCCTGTAATCCCAGCACTGGGGAGGCTGAAAAGAGGAGGATCACTATGGGTCTGAGCTGTGCACGGAGATCCTGTACCAAATACATAAATTTTAAAAAATTGAGGAAAAGAAAGAAAGAAAGCAAGCAAGCAAGCAAGCTTAGTAGATCGGTCACATTTCAGAACCCTGATTAGGTTGTTCACAGAACCTGTCTTACTCTTTGTCAACTACAGAAAATTAGATGTGTATTAATAGATTATGTGCATTGTAAACATATGCAAAAGAAACCATTTTAAAAGGATGAGATAACACTGAATATTTTGTTTTGTTAGGGTGTTTTTTGTTGTTGTTGTTATTGGTATTTTTTTTTTTTTCCCGGAACCAGGGATTGAACTCAGAGCCTTGCGTTTGCTTGTCAAGCACTTATCCTACTGAGCCATCTCCCTGGCCGGTAGTTTTTTTGTTGTTGTTGTTTTTGTTGTTGTTTTTTTTTTTTTTTTTTGCTCTGAATGCCTTCAGGGCAGGTTTGGCTGGCTCAAGTTCTGGAGATCTGTACCACAGCAACCGAGCCTGAGTGTTTTTTTGAAGCAGCCACTTAAAGAGCTGAGCTGAGGGGCAGGCCTCCAGTTGTTGTTTGTTTTAACGAGTTAGTCAAACAAAACCCACTTGTTCTCACTAAAGGTGTAGGCAGGCATACAACACACCTCCACACCACACACCACACACCACACACACTGGTAAGTTTCTCTCCACACCTCACCAGACGTCCGGCCTGTGCCCAGGAAACACTACACACTGTGGAGAGCAGGCTTGCAGGACGTGAAATGAGTCCACTCAAAGACTCCCCTCCTCCATTTCTCCTGCCTAAGAGTCATGCTGCACTCTACTAGAATGCATCGTCCAATAAGGGCTGCATTAGGAGATATTGGCGGGTGAGCAGTTGGGAGGGAAAAGCATGCGGGAAAGAAAGAAATTCCAGATAAAGAAAACGAAAAAAATGAAGAATTTTAAGATATGAGTAGATAGTAACCTTGTAAGTCCTAAAAGTACCCGTGTAATTTAAATTATATACCACTGATAAAAGCAAATTAGCCTGAGGAGGCTGTATCTATACCGCGATGAGAAAGGCAAATGTTTCTGAAGAATACGTGTGCTTTCTTTATGACACCAGGAATCCAGCCCAGGACCTCACACTTGCCACTGAGCTGTACCCCCGTCATACGTGTCCACTTTGCTCTGAGTGGCTTTTGAGTGTAGAAATGCTTCTGATCTTTTAACAGAGTTTATTTGGCATTTGTTGTTTTCAAACCAGTTGCTCAGGGCATTAAATATGAGTTGATTCACATTATCAGGATTTGGGGGAAACAATATTGTGATAAGCCCATTCCCCAGGGAAAACGGATTTCCTAAAAATGCTGATTTGCCACTCACCGCCGTGGCCTGAAGTAGTCAGCGTGGCTTACTCTAACCTCACCAGCTACAAGCTGGCAAAGGGAATTGGATCGTATTTTTCTAAACACCCACTTAGAAGTGTTGGCTCAGAGTGAAATAATTTGAGAGTGTAGCTCTCAGCAAAATTTCTTCCGGCTTTATGGACATGAAAATACAAAAAAAAAAAATCTAGACACTAGTGTTTTCAGCTGGTAGGACCAAATTTTACCCTCTGTGAAGTTGCACCTGCCCCGTGCATGGCCCGTGCAACAGTTTCGCTTTGCTGCGGCTGACGGCGGTCACCGTTGGCTCGAGAGTCCTGCGCCTTGGGCTGCACCGCACAGGTCCGTCCCCGCTGAGCATGCGCGCCTCCGCTCTGCCCTGCAGCCAGGTGTGCACACCAAGACACGTCGTGAAGTCCCTGCCGCTCTTGCTGGTTACGAAGAACAGTAAGCTGCTCGCGCCTGGTTGCCAGTGTCGGCTTTGTCTGAAGTCATTTCGTCTCGGGCAACACGCAAGACTGCTGCCGTGCTCCCACAAGGTAAGCGTCACACCGCTTTAGTGCGACTTCCCTAAACGGGCAGTTTCCACGAAGGACGTGACAATGTAAGCTGCGTCGTCCACTTGCTAGTCGTACTCTGCGCAGAGTTCAGATCACACCGGACAGGTGAAGGAGCTGCGGCGCAGCACAGAGCAGCAGCTCCGCCGCGGGTCCCTGTCACTGAGAGAGGACTCTTCGGCAGAGCCGTCGAGGGGACAAGCGGTGCTTTATGTTAGATTATTTTATCTACTTCAAATATCTATAAATAGAAAAGGCTTGCTAAAAACTTTTTTGCTGTGTATTTTTTAAATGAAAAAGAAATGCCTAAATTGACGTCATTATTTTATTTGAAATTACTAGAATCAAATCCAACACTACTTGATTAATATATAGTTGATAGGTGGGGCCGGGGAGATAGCTCAGTAGAATAGGCCCTTGCCTGGCAAGCACACGGTCCTAGGTTCAATCCCCAGCACCGCAAAAAATAAATAAATAAATAAATAAATAAGATATATAGAGAGAGACAGAGATTTGATAATGAAGATTTTCCATTAAGTCCTTTCAATAAATATTTTGTAGCATTAGCATCACCCTTATCCACAGTGGCTGAATGTTCCAAAAATATGATTTACTTTATATCTTTATATTTCATTGTCCTCAGATCCAATTTTTAAGTCTAATGCTTAATTTTTAAATAATTCCTAATCTGAGTTTCTCAGAAGGCTGAGATAGGAGGCTCTCAAATTCAAAGCCAACTTAGGCCACTTAGCAAGACCCTGTCTCAAAAAGGGTTAGAGTTGTAGCTCAAAGAGGGAGTGTCCCAGGGTTCAGTATGCAGTACCACAAATAATAATAATAATGTTTATTTGTTAAAAGTAATTAGCATAAAATTAATAGTTTGATTAAGTTGTGAATGTTTAACAAAATTGCAAAGGTGGTATTTATATATGTCTTTGCATTTTAGTATTGAAAAGGGGGATAAATCCATTATAAATATGAATCCATTATATTTATAAATGAACTTCCAAATATTTTCATAAGACTTGATAAATTAGAATTTCAATCGATTTTACTAAGCTGTCATAATACAGTTAAAATCCTGTGAAACAGTTATATAAATAATACAGATTACAAGCATGATAACTATATCTCTGACTAACTTACAAACTTTTTTTCCAGTTTCACAGAAAATGCATTGACGATTGGTTGTCCCACAAGTGCAACTCGTGCCCTATCGATGGGTTGGTCATTCAAAGCCCCGTGATGTGGAAAAGTGCAGCCATGGCTGGACAAGCATGCAAGCCAGCTTGCAGCATGGACGTCACTCATCTGTCAAAGCAGGAAGAACTGAATCTCCTTATTCCTGGCACTGGATTAATTTTAAAACAAAATAGACCTGGAATGTTACCGAGCATTCCTCAGAGTAGTTCTGAAAAGCTGAATACGCTTCACAGTCCAACAAATACTTATCAGGATATAACTATAGATGATCTATGCTCTGTCAAATTAGATGATTCGAATTCAAGAAAATTACTCTATGAATCCAAAATTAGCCAGCATTTCCCCAGGTATCTTCAGGATTTGCCCGCTGGACCGCTTGGGAAAATACCACCTCAAACATTTCTTCCTTCCATTGCTCATAAAAACACGAGTTGTCTTAATGAAACACAAAGCCCATATGATCAAAAACACCAGAGTGCTCTGGGTCCAAAGGTGATCAAAGGCTTTCAGCCCGCAAACCATAACAGAAGGCGGAATCGCAGCACAAAACTGAGAGAAGATGATAGGAGAGCCACTATTTTACATCCAGAGGATTTAAGTCTTGTTGTTAATGGGAATCCAACTAATCTCAGTGTGTTTAAACGGAGAAATAATTATAAGGGGAAAATTAGACCCAAGGGTAGCCATCTAGCAAGACAACCTGTATGTTATTCTTCAAATACAGAAAGTACAACACTATCTTTAATAATGGAAGGGGTTCAATTGTGAAAAGTATTTTTGGTTACTATCAAAATATTTGTATTTTGAATATAAAAGTTTATTTTTAGAACTAAAAAATTCTTGATAAAAGCAGATGAAATTGTCTGTTGTTATTCAGCCTACTTGTCTATCAATAACTGCTGCACTTAAACTTACCTCATTGCTTATAAAACAAAGTCGTTGCTAAGAGTTTCTATAGTTTACACTGATTAAATTTTTCATTAAGATAAAGATTTTTTCTGCTTCAACTCACTGCTTTCAAATATTTCACTTAACATATAGTATAGAGCTGGACATGGCGGCTCACACCTTTAATGCCAGCATTTGGGAGGCTGAAGCATGATCACAGCGAGGTGTAGGCCAGCCTGAACTACATAGTGAGTTCAAGGCCAGCCTGAACTACATAGGGAG